TGTGTGTGTGTGTGTGTGTGTGTGTGTGTGTGTGTGTGTGTGTGTGTTTTGAGGGGGATGTGACTATGGAGACCAGAAGAGCTACCCAATCTGATTCCTGGGAACCAGACTTCAGTTTGGAAGAGCAATAAGCACTCTTAATTACTGAGTTATCTCTCTAGCCCTGTGCTGCTTTTGGTTTTGTAGCCTAGGCTGGCCCTGACAGGATGTATCTGAAGATAACCCTAAATTCCTGATCTTCCTGTCACACCTTCCAAATACTGGGATTACAAGTGTATACCACCATACTAGGCTAACTAAACCTTAAGGCTAAATAGAACTGAAGTAGTGAGGGAGAACAGGGGGTACAACACAAGGACATGAGATGGAAATATCCTAAGGTGTGTGAGCCTGGCTTCTGGAAGCAGGCTGGGAAACAGAGCGAGCTGAGAAGAGAGTCTGCTTCGGCAGTAGAATCAGCTGCTGCAGGGAGTGCACCTCCTTCTGGAGATTAGAATTCACCTGGGTGTGACAAGACCCAACAAGGCTAGTTTTAAAGAGATTGGGTTCCACCCCAGCACCCACATGGCAGCCCACAACCATTTATAATTCTAGTTCCAGTGGATCCAACTTCCTCTTTGGCCTGCGTAGGCACTGTATCCATGTGGTCCACAGACACATACAGGCAAACACTCATACACATAAAATAAAACCATTTTACTGTCCTGTTTCTTATATCTAAGACCACCTGGCAGCAGAGCTGTTGGCATGAAAGAAGAGTAGGACACTAAGCAGCGACCTTCAGTAGTGGTGGAAGTGAGAAGCCATATGCCCGAACTAAAGCAGCAGAGAAGGCACAGGCTTCGAGGCTGAAGTAACAGGAAATCCCAGAATTGGGGACGAAGGGCCAAGGAGGATGCCACCATCACTGACTCCTGGAGTTCTGATCTGAGCAAGAGCAGAGGGAGAGTCCCAAAGAGTAAGAACCCTCAGAGGAGCAGCTGGAGAGGAAGAACATGAATTCACTGAATCTGATTTCATTCTCTACCTTGTAGTCACCCAGACCTTGCCAGAACTCTTCCAGTCCTGACATGAGTCTACTTTAAAATCTGTGGGGCTACAAATTTTTAAGCTTGCTTGCCAGGGACCACCTGGCATAGTCACTGTTGATCAACAGAGCCACACCTCTCCCCCTACATCACCCTACACAGAGCTTTAGGCTTTATAGATACAGGAATGCCCAGTGCATCCAATACACATGAACCTTTTAAGTTTCACTTTAAATTGCAGCTTGGTTTCAGCTGTGTAGGGACGGGTATATTTGGAGGTCAAAGGACAACATTTCTGAGTCTGTTCTCTTCTTCCACCATGTGGGTCCCAGGGATCAACCTTGCCCTAGGCCTGTCTGCAGGAGCCTCTGGCCCTTACATTCTTTTTATATTTTTCCTCACCATATTCTATGTGCATGAAGGAGAAAAAAAATCACTGTACCTAGTACCATCATCGAGAAAACTCCCATAACTTCCTAGACTTCTGAGTAGTTTATCTCCTAGCAGACTGTGACTGTCTCTCAATAACATGCTGTTTTAAGAATAGACACTTTGTCTGACTTACTTCGTTCTCAATGTCTAGGCTTCAACACACTGGAGCAGCACTAAATACAAACTGAGTGTTCTTTTAAAGACAGAAAACATGTTTGTCTCCCCCACCCTCCCCTCCCTCAAATACCTTTCCATTGAGCTCTATGAGTCTGTCGTCTCCAGCTTCTCTGTCAATTGGCCCCAAGAGTCTAAGAATGATGTTGGGATGGAGAAAACTCTGGTTTGGAATGGGTGTGACAGAGCCACACTGGGCTATGCTCAGTCTGAGAAAGCCTGTAAGCCATCCAAGAGAGACAGTCCAGGCACAAGACACATCAGACTGAGAAAAATCTAAGTTTGAGCCTCTGGTGTTTTAAGCTCTAATTCTAGACTGTTCTGAGCCACACTGTACAGTACCTTAGCCACAGGCTATCCAATCCTAGCCTGCTCTAGCTCTTCCTCTCAATTGCTGGATGAGACTGGAAAAGGTTCCACAGATAAGGTCCTTTCGATAAGGTCCTATAATCTAGACCAAAAAAATAATTGGTCTTGGTTTAGGGTGCTTAGCCATAAAGGATGAAGGGCACAGGCAGAGGTTTGATTGGTAATAGAATTAGCAGAACAGATCACAAGGTCTACTTCAGATACTACCTTCGCAGAGAGGTCCTTCCTGACCACTCTTGGGGTTGACAAGGTAGCTCAGAAGACCAGACAACCTAAGTTTGATCCCTAGGGCCCATCTCACAGTTGTCCTCAGGTCTGCTGGCATGTGCCATACAAATGCTGGCACATACGAAATAAACGAGTAAAACGCAGGCCTCTCCTACACCACCAGCAAATGCAGTTTTCTTCTCATTTCCTGTCATTCAAATTCTAGTTCCAGCATATTGGCAGCACGCCTCTGCCAGAATTCAATTGATTTCTTTACGTGCATTCCGTCCCATTCCCCTTCTTCTTTGTCTTGTTGTTCAGGGCTAAGAAAAATGGCCAAGTCAAAGATGAGTCCCAAGTGTGTAATACAGGCAGCAGTGTAGAAATGCTCCCTCCCTGAGCAGGACAGAGGAAGGGTTACGAGTTCTGATGTGAGCTACCCATGGGACACTCAGAAAGGGATATTAGTTCATCTTCTGGGGTGAGGTCATTAGCTGCTGAAGAGTAACTGAAGCCACAGAGCTAAGTGAGAACAGTGAAGAAGCATGGAGAAGCCAGAAGCACCTAGGACGCAGCTCTGAGGAGCAGCAACAACTGAAGGGCCAAGGGAAGCCACTAAAACCCACAGGAGATCCAGGGACAGACAGAATGCAACAGGCAGAAGAAACCCATGGACAGCACTTGACCTAGAACTGAGTGGGTAACCGTGGCTGGGACTGAGCACATCTGGAGCCAATCCTGGGAGATTGGAAAACTCAGCAAGTGGCTCAGATTTGGTCTGTCAGCAGCTCACCTTATTGAACCTGGCAAAAGGGTAGTCCTTGCCCTCCTCTGCTGCTCGTCGCCAGTGGAAAAACATAGCACCATCCTTTCGAGCTGGGTTGGTAAAAGGCATCCACTTCCAAGGTCGAACCTTCTTGGACCCCAATTTAGCCTTCACTGTGCGATACCCCTGACCAGTGTCACTGGGCAGTAGTGGGGGTGCATCCCTGGCAGTGGAGGTGAAAGGTAAGAAGCAGGTATGTGAAGAAACACTAAAGCCAAGAAGCTCAGTCTACCCCTGAATAAGGAAGTCATGTCCTGGAGCAAGACACTGAGCTGACCTGCAGGAGGAGCCCTGGTTGGGGATATGGGCTGGGGAAAGTAGAAGAGATAACAAGGAAGTAGGCATATGCTCAGTGAGCTAGGGTAACCATGGAGACTTTGGGATTCCAGTACTTGCTTTTTGTCAGAGTAAAGCAAAGCATAGACCTCCCGATGCATGCCCTCAGGCCTCTTGAAGGTCAGTGTCTCCGAGGACTTCTTGGACTTTTTCTGCAAAGAAAACCACAGGGGAAAAATGGTGGCCTAGATCCACCCTTACCTAAGGTTTTACCCAGCACAATCTGAACAAACGAATGCTGAACTAAAGTCACAGGAACCCACTCATGAGAGCGTCTCTACCCCAGCTGCACAGGTCATTCCTCTCCCCATTCTCATCTGAGCTATCAGGGAAGAACCCTCACCTCAAGACTGTCACAATGTTTTGTCCTCTCTTCCCAACAACTTACAAGTGTCACGTTCCCTCGGGGCTCTCGTCCCTTGGAGGTTTCCCGCTCTCTTGGTCCCCACCACCTTCCAGTGTCCTCTCTCCCATCACATTAAGGGTGGCATACTTTTTGTTCCATTGTAGTTTTCCTTTTATTATCACTTCCACTATCTCTCTTCTGGTAACACCCCTTCCCATTCCTTCGCCAACACCTTCACCCCCACTTCAACACCCTCAAATGCTACCTTGTCCGGGTTGATAATGTCCTTTTTGCTGATGGTCCCAGAAGTGGCATCTACCTCTGGGCCCCCGAGTTCTAGAATGTCTCGTACATCTGCGCCGGTAGCCATCACGCCTGAGGGATGAGGTAGCACCCCGAGGTGAAGGGTCAGTACCTACAAAAAGACTCTGCTACTGTCAAGGGGGCGGTGTCCCTGCCACTCCAGCTCCAAGTGGGGGCAGGGTGAAGAGGCCAGTCGCCAGGAGAACGGTCCACACTAGGTCTGGGTTCTGCCTTGTTCTCCGCCTCCCCGCGCCGGTGTCCCTTATGGCCACACCGTCCTCCCGGCCTCACCATCCCCAGGGATCCACACCTGAGTACTCTAGCTGTAGCCCCTTCCTCAGATTATCTCTCAAAAGAACCACGGATAGAAACTTCCGTCTGTGCGTCGTAGAAATGCAACCCTCAGAAACACTTCCGGTCGGTGCTTGGACAAATAGGAGCCGGCTAGCAACCTAGTGTGCAAGCTACTAGGCAGGCTGAGTCGCTCACTTGCTGTGCTCTCACGAAACCAGGCGAGGCGGTGCGGGTCTTGTTTTTAACATTTGCCTTCTATTTCGCTCCGTTGTGTCCCGGGCAATGAAAAGAAAGCCCAAAGAGAGCTCTGTGACATTGGAAAGTCACTTAATTTCTCAAAACCTATTTCAAAACACTTTCTTCGTTTACAAAATGAAAATTGTAACAGCGCCTGCTTAAGTGAAATACCAATAACCCATGTAAAACAATAGCACAGTGCCTGGGACATTCTTTTCTTAATTAACTGGATTAATGATAGTAATTGCCTCTGCTCATTAAGTGCCTTTGTATACCAGGCATTGCCATTGTACTAAACTTTCAGAGCCGAGCTAGCTTCTCCAGATGCCAAGAAAGTAAGATAGTACATCTGTCTCTATCTATCTATCTATCTATCTATCTATCTATCTATCTATCTATCTATCTACCTACCTATCTACCTATCTGCCTACCTATCTGTCTCCCCCTCTTTGTCTCCTCCTTCCTATCCCTCTTCTTTCCCCACCACCCAGGGTAGTCTCTTAACTCATATCGATCCCCCTGCCTCTCAAGGAATGTGACACCAGATCAGGCTCTTAAGTTCTTTATTTAATTAGGACTCTCCTAAAATGAGTTGTGAATCTTTACTCCTTTTTTGGCCAGTGTAATGTACAACACACACACACAAACACACACTGTACTCTCAACACACAAACTAGAGCTATCTGAAAGATGGAAACCTTAATTGAGAAAATGCCTTTAAGATCCAGCTGTAAGGCATGTCTCAATTAGTGATCAGTAGGGATGGCCATTGTGGGTGGTGTCATCCTTAGCTAGTAGTCCTGGGTTCTATAAGAAAGCAGGCTGAGCAAGCCAGGAGAAGCAATCCTGTAAACTGCACCTCTTCATAGTTTCTGCATCAGCTCCTGCCTCCAGGATCTTGCCCCGTTTGAGTTCCTGAGTTCCTGTCCTGACTTCCTTTGGTGATAAACAACAATCTGGAAGTGTAAGCTGAATAAACCCTTTCCTCCCCAACTTGCTTTTGATCATGGTGTTTCATGGAAGCAATAATAACCCTAAAACACACACACACACCCCACATGTCTATGTGCTTAGGTTGTCAATATTTAGGAGTGACCTGAGGCTCTTGTTTTCACAAGGGAGTATAAGTGTCATTTCAACTGCTGTAACGACTACCAGTCTTTACAACTGCTGTCATTTCAACTGCTGTAACGACTACCAGTCTGTTTACTCTTGACTTCAGCATTTGTAGTTGCTATCTCCTGCCCTCCTCCAAGTATGGCCTAAAAGAAAAATGACAGACAATATTAAAATGTTGGTGAGGATGTGGAGCAACAGAAATCTAACTCTTTGCCGGTGGGAGTTAAATAATTATAACCACTTAGAAACACTGCTTGTTTCTGTCTACTAAAATTAAACACACATAGACTTCCTGTCACAGAAACTGTGCTCCTAAGTATGTTCTGTATTCTAGTGAATATATTCTGATGAAGATAATTGCTGATTGTCATCAAAAGTTATAAATAATAAACAAGGGCTTGAGGGAAGACTTAGTGGTTAAGAGCATTTGCTGCTCTTCTGGAGGACCTGGGTTCTGTTCCCAGCACCCACATGGAGTTTCAACTCTCTGTAACTTGGGCTGGACATGGTGACACACACACCTTTAATCCCAGCACTCCGGAGGCAGAGACAGATGGACCTCTGTGACTTCAAGGTGATCCAGTGGCTCACAGCTGTAATCCTAGCACTTCGGAGGCTGAGCTCCAGGCAAACAATCAGAGATACTAGGGAGCCTGAGACAGGAGGATAGCAAATTCCAGGCCTATCTGTAGTGCCAAGCTTGAGATCCGCCTAGGCAACATAGTAAAACCCTGTCTCAAAATTTAGAATGGTGAAAGAGAGTAGTATATGTTGTCCATGTTTCCAAAGCCCTTGGTTCAATCCTCAGTAAAACAAAAAACAAATCTAAAAAATGTAGGCGCTGGAGAGATGTCTCAGTGATTAAGAGCACTGATTGTTCTTCCAGAGGTCCTGAGTTCAATTCCCAGCAACCACATGGTGGCTCACAACCATCTGTAATGAAATCCAGTGCCCTCTTTTGGTGTATCTAAAGACAGCAGCAGTGTACTCATATACATAAAATAAATTAAAAAAAAAAAAAACAAAGGTGTTTACATAGCCGGGCAGTGGTGGCACACACCTTTAATCCCAGCAGTTGGGAGGCAGAGACAGGCGGATTTCTGAGTTTGAGGCCAACCTGGTCTACAGAGTGAGTTCCAGGACAGCCAGGGCTATACAGAGAAACCCTGTCTCAAAAAACAAAAAATAAAAAATAAAAAATAATTTAAAAATGTAAGTGATGGAAAAGGAATAGTTGTCATGAGAAATAAGACAGTGAGCCAGGCAGTAGTGGCACACTCCTTTAATCCCAACACTTGGGAGACAGAGGCAGGCGGATTTCTGAGTTCGAGGCCAGCCTGGTCTACAGAGTGAGTTCCAGGACAGCTTGGGCTACACAGAGAAACCCTGTCTCAACCCCCCCCCCCCCAAAAAAAGAAGACAGTGAGAAGCTAACAAGCACTAGTAAAACAGCACAAGCACTCCAGCTGGAGTTAGAACCCAGGTAGAACTGGAGTCAACCACCCTACAGTTCAAAATGGTGCCAGATGTTCTGATCATTCCAGCAGAGAAGACTGGTAAGAGGCATGTGCATCACAGAAGTGGGAAGCTGCGGTCTCACAGCTGATGCTTTTCCCGGTATAGAAAAGCCTAAGAAAAATCAATTGACAAACTATTACCACTAATAAGAGAATTCAACAAGGTGACTACATACAAGATCAATGTGCAAAAATCAATAGCTTTCCTATATACCAGCAATAGCCAATTAGAAAATGTAAAGGGAAATAAGATTCTATTCACAATAGCAACAAAAACTATTAAGTTCCTAAGAACAAACCTAAAAAGAGAATTTATGTCAGATCCTTAAGGATAGTTCAGTATTAGGAAACCCATCAATCTAATTAATCATCCTGATAAAATAAAATTGAAAGCTACATAATTGTATTATGTAGCAGCAGAGAAAACACAAAAACCCATTTCTGGTAGGAAAAAAAAACCTGAGTAAAACGGTCTGGGGAGAGGTTTTCTCTTTTAGAAGTTAAAAGGAGGCATCATGTTAAACGGCTAAAGCCACGGTTGTTAAATCTCTTTAAACAAGGCAGGAACAGTTACTATCTTTGAAAATTGTTTATGTAAAAATGCAATGGAGAATTTGGCAGTGGAACATCCTCTGGAAGGCTCTATTCTGGGACCTGCCAGAACAAGAATCCGTCTCCTTCCCAAACAAGACTGCTCAGTTTCATAGACTGCTCTATTTCATACCACAAAACAGGATGGAAATTAGAATCTCACCAAAGCCCAAGTTGGATCACAAGGGTCCTGTATAGCCGAAGCTGGCCTCCTGTTCACTCTACGCTGGAGGGGTGACCTTGAAGAGTATGTGTTATGCAATGTTATGCAGTGCTCATGTTAAGACCCAGGGCGCCGTGCACTCTAGGTGAGCACTCTACCAACTGAGCTACACCCCTCCACCCCCTTTCTATTTCTATTTTTGCTTCTTTGTTAAAACCATCACCAAGTATTATCTAGACACTGCTTTCTCTGCGCCTGTCCTCAGACTACAGGAAAACTTGTTTATTTGTTTGTTTGTTTGTTTGTTTGTTTAGTTGTTTGGTTTGGTTTGTTGTTTTAGATAGGGTTTCTCTGTGTAGCCCTGGCTGTCCTGGAACTCACTCTGTAGTCCAGACTGGCTTCGAACTCAGAGATCCACCTACCTCTGTCTCTCCAAGTGGTGAGATTAAAGGCATGCGCCATCGCTGCCCGACTTAAGGAAAAGGGGGGATGTTAAATGTTTTCCATAGAGAAACCCTGTCTCAGAAAAAAAATTAAAAAAATAAATGTTCTCCACTATTAAGAAATGATCAACAGCTTTTCCTGAGACGTCACCACAGTGTTCAGTTCTTCTGAGGAAGCTCAGGCTGCAGGAGAATGGGGAAGTCCTCCCAGCAACCATGTCTCCTGATTGGCTGCACATACTTACCCCCTCATTCTAAGCAGTGATTGGGTGACCCTCACAGAGGGTAAGGCCAGTGCCCTCATTAAAGCAGCTGGTGTCAGTGGTGAGCCTTTTGGGCCTAGCTTTCTGCAAAGCCCCTCCCAGCCAGTGTCGCTTGGAAGCCTCATGTCGAGCAGGCACTGGTGGATCTGCTCCAGCAGCTGGAGTCATGAAAGCAGATGGCCATGCCCTATCTCCACTGCTGTCCAGCTGAGAAACAGAAGCAAAGAGAAGAATCTGAGCAATCCCATGATGCAACAGGCTTTGGGCTTGACTAAATTTATATGGTTAACATAGTGAGTTGAAAGATGAGCACGCTGGGCAGTGGTGGCACACGCCTTTAATCCCAGCACTTGGGAGGCAGAGGCAGGCGGATTTCTGAGTTCGTGGGCAGCCTGGTCTACAGAGTGAGTTCCAGGACAGCCAGGACTACACAGAGAAACCCTGTCTCACCCCCCCACCAAAAAAAAAGATGCGCTGATTGTTCTGGAAAAAAGAAATATGTGAGAAAGCACCTGTCTAAGATAATTTAAACATTCTATAAAACACACAGGTACAAAATGTCACATGTTCCATAGAGAGGTACAAGTTTCCCAGGTGTGGTGGTGCACAACTTTGATTCTGGTGTACAAGCAAATAGATCTCTATGAATTCAAGACCAGCCTGGTCTACATAGCAAGTTCCAGGATAGCCAGGGCTATAGCATGAAACCCTGTCTCAAAAAACAAAACAAAAACCTCTAAGCAAAAAAATGTCAACAGCGGTGGTGGGAA